ATCTATGTATTGGTGAGAGTCTGGTGAATTTGGACCTATCTGTCCCTTTATGTTCAATAATGCTTGTTTTATGAAATTGGGTACACTAATATTTGTGCCATATTTATTTAGAATCATTCTATCTTCTTAATGAATTGTTCCCTTTATTAGAGTGTAGTGACCTTCTATGGCTCTTCTGACTAATTTTGGCTTGAGTTTTCTTTGTCAGCTATGAGTATTACTATTCCTACTTGCTTTCAACCTGTTTCCTTGGCATATTATTTTCCATCCTTTCACCTTTAGAATGTGTGTATCATTGCCTGAAAGGTATGTTTCTTATAGACAACAAAAAGTTGGATCCTGTTTTCTAATTCAACTGTCCATTCTGTGTCTTAGGATTTTAGAGTTAAAACTATTCACATTTGGAGTTATGATTGAGAAGTTTTACTATTTCCTGTTATTCATTAATTTTTTTTTCCAGGTTGATTCGAGTATTGCTTATTCTTCTCTTTTGCCCTTATTTATCTTCAGGATTTGTTGGTTTGCTAAGTTGAACATATTTGATTCTTTCCTAATTCTTATGTCTTCATCTTTTCTTGAAATTTATTCTTTCCTCGGCTCTTGTGTTTGTGACTGTCTTTCTTCCTCCTCTGTGTGTGTACTATTCCCTTAAATTGTTAGGGTACGAGGCCGGCCACCTTCTGAGAGGACAAAGGACACTCGAGACAAAGGAAGTCACAAGGCGAGGTTTATTTCTAGCCGGCTAGGGTCTGAGCATCCGCCTGACGCAGCAGGTTTCATCAAGGACCCTGAGAGCAAAGTTTAAGCAGGTCTTATACTCTTTATAGCATCAATCATCGTCACATAGGAATTCCTCATGCCCCTGGGGTCACATTTTCCTGATCTTGCCCACATCCTGGTGGTGGGGTAATATTATTTATTGGGAACTGGGGAAACACCAGAGGCTTACTTCTCAGGTTACAAGGAATGCGTTCTCCCATAAATTAGGGGCTAGTAGTGGAATAGAAACCTAAGGTTTAGATAAGAACAGCAGGGAGTCCTGCTTTGGAAAGTTTATTTACAAGTGGAGACAAAGAAAGGCAGGAATGGGTGCTTATCTCTGCATGGTGCCTTTCATCTCTGCCGAACTTTTGCATGGCTCTAATGAGCAATTCCTCACAGCTCTGTCCGAGGTTACAGCTTTTAATTGACAGTTTACCATGTTGTACAACCCTGTTTCAAGGCTATCTTCCTCTTCATGAGGTTACCCAAGGGTCGTGCCAGTTATAGCTGATTTCTAGGCTAGGTGGGCTGCCAGTTAAAGTACCCCAACAAAATATCTTCTGCAAATGTAATGGGCATGGATTGTACTTTTTGGATTATACTTCATCTGAAAGGTCTTTATTCCTCCTTCAGATTTGAAAGATAATGTTCCTAGATATAGTAATTTTGGTTGATTATTATTTTCTTTCAGAGCTTGAAATGTATTCTTCCATGCTTTCCTGGCTTTTAGGGTTTCAGGTGATATATCTGAGGTAATTCTTATGTATTTACCTGTGGGGAGCAGATTAAAGCCTATGAAAACTCATTAACAAGGTGAGATACAGTTAATTACTTTTACCTGTAGACCAAAATAGGCACAGCCCCCAGCCACAAAACAGAGAAAGGCAGAACATCTGTTTCTCCTGAGTTTTATTCAGAGAAGCAAGTTTTCTCCTGTTACAATGTCACGCCCCTTCCCATGTCTCCACTGTTTGCTGATATAAAAGACCCTGAAGGAGGAAGAGGGGCTTTTGCTTTTTGCTTTTGGGGGCTTTACTTTGGGCTTTTGCTTGGCTTTTGCTTTGGGGGGCTTTACTTTGGGCTTTTTGGTGTGGGAACCTTTTGGAAGGGAAATGAATTATTGAAGGGAAAAATTGCTGACGGGAAAAGAATTGTTGAAGGGAAAATGCTAAAAAGGGGTTGATAGAAAGTCTGCACCAAGAACTTTAACATAGGCTTCAGAAAGCAAAGCTGAGAAAGAACTTCATGCATAGGCCTTTGGAAAGCTAAAGCTAAAGAAAAGCCAAAGAGAACATGGGACAGTGCACAGTGCAAGTCTAAGGACTGAGACCTGAAGAGTTATGCAAATGCAGGTTGTAGGGTGGCTGTTTGCAAGTTTGAGCACCTATGCTGCTTTCAGAGAGCTAAAAAGAGATGCAAGCCTGGGGGCAAAAGACTTTTAGAGCAGTTAAGCTAAAGATAAGCTAAGAGCAAACATAGAACAGTTTTAAGAGGTTTTAAGGAAGGTTTTAAAGAAGACTTTAGAAGCAAGGTTTTTAAAGAACTGCAAGGAGTAAGGCCTTAAAGAATCAAGATAGAGAAAAGAAGCACTGAGGGTTGTGCATCTCCAGCTGAGCTTACAACACACCTGACCCCAACTTTGTCTGTCTATCTTGTGTCTTTTCTAAAATCTCCTGTCACCCTCAGTTAAGCCCAGTTAGGTCCAGTAACACCAAGGAGCTAGAGAAAAAGCTCACTCCAGCAAGGGAGGGAGCACAGGAAACCGCCCTCTTCATTTACCTTTTCAGATAATTTGGCATTTTTTTCCCTTGTAGTTTTCAACTTCCTTTCTTTGTTCTCTAGTCTTAGTATTTTAATTATGATGTGGGATGGTGAGGTTCTTTTGTGGTCATGGCTATTGGGGTGCTAAATGCCTCCTGTACCTGGGTGTCTATATCTTTCCTAAGATTTGGGAAATTTTCTGCTATGATTTTAGTTTCTGTGCCTTTAGTTTGTATCTCAGTTCCTTTTTCTATCCCACATAGTCTTGGGTTGGTGCTCTTAATCATGTTATGGAGTTCTTGAAGGTTGTGATCATGCTTGATTATGTTGTTGGTTTTTTTCTTTATTGCCATCTGTATGCAGTATTTTCTCAGTCTTACCTTCAATACCTGATATTCTTTCTCCTGCTTGATCTTGTCTACTAGTGAGCCTGTCTACTATATTTTTTATTTGATTTATTGAACTTTTTGTCTGCAACATTTCTGGGTTGGTTTGTTTTTTTAGAAACTAAATTTCCTTGCTGAATTTTTCAGCCATGTTGCTAATTTTCATGTCCAGGTATTGAATTGACTTCCTTACTTCATTTATCTGTTTGCATTGACTTTGAGGTCCCTGATCATTTTTAAAAGTAAAGTTTTGAATTCTTTATCCAACATTTTAGCCACTTCATTATCTTTGGATTTGATTAAGTTCTTATGAGCTAGGAGGATTGATACTGCCTTGCTTTTTCTATTACTCTGTTTCCATTTTGTGATTTGTGCATCTGTGGGTAGCATGGATAGCATTTCTTTGAACTGTTCAGATGAAGAAAGAGTTGACAGCAGTAACAATTCAATAATTTAAAAATAAACTAGAATGTTAAATGGAAACATCAACTACATCCCCAGTAAGGTGTAGAAGAAAGAAACTAGTATTCTTGTATGGAAAATGTGGAGTTTACAAATTACTAATGGTATATGTTTTAAAATTTTAAAGAAGGGCATGGGGAAAGGAAGGAAGCAGAAAGGAAGAGAAAGTGGGGAGAAGTATATGGATGAAGGTATAGGAAATAATATTGTAAAACAGTACAGTGTAACTATTATAGAGGAAGACAGAATAGTTGGGGAAGTAAAGAAAATAAAAGGAGATCCAGTCTCCTGGTTCTGAGAGGGGAGTGGATACAGGCTAGGCCTAGTCAAGGCAGTAAGTAAGCATTTTCCCCCAGTCTCTGGCCCTTAGAGTTGTCTGTGGTTCCCCCGATGACTTCAGTACCAATTCTCCTCTGGTCACACAATTAACATCATGGTACAGTCTGGCACCATGAGAGGCAAGGGTTCTGAGTGTGGGCAATAGCCCTGTGTGGGTCAGCTATGGGCTCACAGCATCAGCTGCCAGGGGGAGGGGAAGTTGTTGGTGGGGTTTATCCTCTAATCTGGGTGGATAGAGCTCCTGCAGTACTATAGCAATAGGCAGCTCTTGATGGGTAGGGATGCTTTGGGTACATTTGGCAGCAGCTGGAGGTAAGGAGGTTCCTCACTCTACCCAAGCCAGAGCTTACTGCAGGACGCTTATCCTCTTCACCCATGTGCACTAAGCAGACTCTTCAGCCATGGGACAGCATGCACCTCACACTGTCACAGTTTTGTGTCTTAGAATCCAGGTCCAAGTGAGTCTCTGTGGGTACTTGGCTTAGTAAGTACCTGGAAGAAATCTTTCAGGGTTGAAAATGTAAAAGAAAAATATGAAAAAAAAAAAAAAAGGAAGCATCTTCTACTATTAGCAGGCTGGTTTGTTATGACTTCTAGATAAATTCACCTCTATGACTCTGGTCACTGACTCTGCTTTTGTATTTTGTGTAGGAAATTTTATAAATTGTATTGTAAATATACATTTCTAACTCTCTATTCTATTTTCTTATATCTGTTCCTACTCCAGACTTGATGTATATAATGCATATAATTGATGTATAATAATTTCATCATAACAAAAATTCCTCATGGCAAATTCCCATGTTTTCTTATACACACACACACATTTTATTCTTCAGGATACCATAGTCTCTGTAAATTCCACAATCACTTTGTCAGTGTCTATTAAAAAACCCTACTTAAATGTTATCTGGTGTTGTATTAAATTTATAAATGAATTTGGGCAAATTAACAGATTTATGCTAATCTCCCTTTTCACATTGACTTTTAGTGTGTTGAGTTTTACAGTTTTCTTCATCTGGATGTATTGTTATAGCACCATAATACTTCCTTTCTTAGAGACTTTAATTACAGTGGAGTCTTTCTTCTGCATACATTCCCCATTTTGGAGAATGAAAAGGACTGTCCACTCCAGTATCTGTGTCTTCTTCCAGCATTTCCTTCTGAGTTTCCTTATAAAGATGTCTAATTAAATTCCAAGGATCAAGATCATTTTTCTACTAAAGTGGTTATTTTGTTTGTTCTGTTTATATAACTAATACATGCCTGTATGTGTTGGATTTCCTTCAGGTAAAAAAGCAAAACCTGACACCACAGAGCCTACTGCTTCTCACCTGGCCTTCTCTGGAGAATTCCCTTTCCAAGAACTACTGACACGGAAATCTGCAAAGGATTCTATTTTGAGGCAAACCGAGGATGATGAAAGGCTACCAAAAATGTGTGATGGGAACTTGAGGCCAGGAACAGAGCTCTACCAGGAGACCTGTGTTGGAAAGTTGCGCCATAACCATAATGATTTGGAGATAGATGATGGTCTAAAAGTCTGCCAAGAGCAAGTCACTCCCCGAGATGGTGGTGTTGAACATGACTTCCAAGCACCAGGAAAAGACTCTGTGACTGAAGCAAGGAGCAACCCCTACAAGTGCAAAGAATGCGGAAAACGCTTTAACAAGAATTGGGCCCTGCTTCGGCATCAACAGATTCATACTGGAGTGAAGCCCTATGAATGCAATGAGTGTGGGAAAGCCTGTCGCTATATGGCTGACTTCATTCGACATATGAGGTTTCATACTGGCGAAAAACCACACCGGTGCATTGAGTGTGGGAAGGCCTTCAAGCGCAGGTCTCACCTCACAGAGCATCAGCGTGTTCACACTGGAGAGAAGCCCTATGAGTGCAAAGACTGTGGTAAAGCTTTCAGCCACCGCTCTTCTTTTATCCAACATAATTTGACCCACAGTAGAGAAAAGCCCTTTTTGTGCAAAGAATGTGGGAAAGCTTTTTACTACAGTTCTTCATTAGCACAACATACAAAGATTCATACTGGAAAGAAGCTGTATGAGTGCAGTGAATGTGGAAGGGCCTTTACTCATTGCTCCACTTTGATCAGGCATGAGAGGACCCATACTGGGGAGAAGCCTTACGAGTGCAAAGAATGTAGTAAAGCCTTCACCCACCACTCTTCTTTTATCCAGCATCTTATGACCCACACAGGAGAAAAACCCTTTTTGTGCAAGGAATGTGGCAAGGCCTTTTGTGACAGCTCTTCCTTAGTTCAACACATGAGGATTCACACTGGTGAGAAGCCTTACGAGTGCAGTGAGTGTGGGAAAGCCTTTACTCAGTGTTCCACTTTTATCAGGCATAAGAGGACACACACTGGGGAGAAGCCCTTTGACTGCAAGCAATGCGGAAAGGCCTTTTGTGTTAGCTCTTCATTAGTTCAACACATGAGAATTCACACAGGTGAGAAGCCTTACGAGTGCAGTGAATGTGGAAAGACTTTTACTCACCACTCTGTTTTTCTCCGACATAGTAGGACCCACAGTGGAGTGAAACCCTTGGAGTGTAAAGAATGTGCAAAAGCCTTTTACTACAGCTCTTCCTTCATTCGACACATGAGGATTCACACTGGAGAGAAGCCCTATGTTTGCAGAGAATGTGGAAAAGCCTTCACCCAAACTGCAAATTTTGTCCGGCATACTAGGATCCACACTGGAGAAAAACCCTTTGAGTGCAAAGAATGTGAGAAGGCCTTTTGTAACAATTTTGCCTTAACTAGGCACATGAGAACTCACACTGGAGAGAAACCCTTTGAATGCAGTGAATGTGGAAAGACTTTCAGCCACAGTACATCGTTCACTCACCATCAGAGGATTCATACCAGGGTTTAAAAGATATAAGAACACCTGCTGCAAGTCTGTCCCCTCAATCAATTTGCATGAGCACATAGTGCTGAAATATCTTTCTTTTTGTTCCCATGCAATGCACTGTATGATGTTTGCCAGGCAAGGTGACTCAAGCCTATAATCCCAACTACTTTGGAGGTAGAGATCAGGAAGATCATGGTTGGAGGCCCACCTGGGCATAAAGTTAGCAAAACCCCCCTTCTCGATCAGTAAGCTGGGTGTTGTGGCCTACTGTCTGTGATCTCAGTTTTGGTCAGACGGCATAGGTAAGAGGATCATGGTCCATAGCTGGCCTCAGGCAAAAACAAGACCTTACCTGAAGAGTAACTAAAGCAAAAACCATTGGGGATGTAGTTCAAGTGGTAGAGCATGTACCTAGCAAGAATTAGACCTTCAGTTCAAACTTCATTACCACAAAACAGCTAGAGAAAGAAGGAAGAAGGAAATAGAGATAGAGAAGGAAGAAAGGAGAAAGAAAGAGAATCTTTAATACAACTATTGAGGAAAGTCTTTTGCCAGAGAAATATTTTACTCACTATGAGAGACTTCATACTGAAGGTGAATATCATAATTGCCATCCTGTGAAAGCTTTTTGCTGTACTTGTTATCCTAAGTATTATATTAGAAATCAATCTAGGCCATGCCTAATTCTACATCTGAGAATCATCCAGAAGAGAAACACAGTGGATATCGTGCATTTAGGTAAAATGTCAGCAACAACTTTCCTTTTATTTAAAATAAAAATGAGCTTCCATATTTTAAAGAAAAGAGAGATGGGGGAATAAATATATAAGGGAAAGGAAGCGAAATATATGCATGACATCTGTCCAATTTCCCAATCTATGACAGTTTGTCATGACGTGGAGATGAGAGATTTAAAAAGTCCTCATCATAAGATGTGTTTTTTAAAAACCCTGAATCAGGAAAGTTGGACATTTAAGAGCACTTTGCCAACATTACTTAAAAGTATTCTTCTAAGACATTGCCATTTCTATGCCTGCAAAATACAAAGTCTTCCATCTTGAAATACTTAAACACATGCACACATCTGTACATTTGCAGTGAATTCTTGTTATTTGTGGTAGTTATATCCTGTGAATGTGAAACACACTAGATTCTAAGTACTAAACATTTTTTGCTAGCAGAAATACAGGGTTAGTTTCCTATAAGCCTCTGGCCCAAATATTTTCATCAACCAATCAATACATAAGTTTCTTACGGTTTTTGTATTTGAAAACACCTTACCTGATTAACATATATTTCTTACAAGCTTATAATTGCTATTTTTACAATAAAATAATGGCATTCAGTGTGATGAACTTTAGTATATTGTTTTTGTATGGCTTTGACACAGTTATATATGTACATGTGTACAGTATCATGTATAAGAAACAGAACTATGAACAGTTGTCTATACTTCAGCCATGCAAATAAAGATAGTCTAATAAAGATTCACTAAATGAGGTAACTAAGATTACATTTCTACTTTTGATGGAGCTGCAGGATGTAAAATGGGATGGCAGTCTGTGGTTAAACCTATTGACCTTGGCTTGATCTGAGACAAAAGAAAAAGTGTGTTGGAACTTATTTTGCATAAGAAAGCATTTATTAGCATAACCTGTTCATATCTATTAGTGCTGCCTCAAGAGTTGACTCAACATATGTTAATAGCATCAACAGTTTTCCTTCTTGAACTGGCTTCAGAAATTGCATCAGCCATGTCTGTTTGGCTTTTCACCTTAAATGTTTACAATCTCACTGAAAGGGACTGCAGTGAGTTTAGAAGCATCAATTTCCAGTTGTACTCAAGATGCACTCAACATCACATTCTTAATTCATGTCATTTAAGGTTTTCCCAAAGCAAAATACTATTCTGATATTTTTGCTGCTTAAGTCAGGCTGTATTATCACTGTCATCGTCAGTGACTTCAATGGCCCATTTTACATCTCATCAATATCTTTGTTAGTGAGTTTTAATGAATTTGCCAAAATTTCATCCATGTCTTCACATTTTCCATGCAGTATACATTCTAATTGATACTGTGCTTTAAATTTTCTGTCATTGATATTTTTCCAACACTCATTCAAAATAGTTTGCTTAAGCTATCCCAAGCTATCCCAGCACATAACATGACATATAATGACTGACTTCCATTAGTCTGTCATGGTGGACCCTTGTTAGTGTTGAAAGCCTTTCATGCCTTAATGTATAGCTCCCTCAGATTGAAGTAACTTCACAGCTTTTAATTGTATCCTGACTGAGAAGGTGAAGGGCTGATGGAGTGACTCAAGTGCTATAGTGCCTGCCTAGCAAGTGTGAGGCCCTGAGTTCAAACACCAGTACTGAAAAAAAAAAAAAGAGAAGTTGGATAACAAATACAGCATGAGGGAGCATGAAAAGAATGTCTAGGTTTAGGTGAGAATTTTCAACTTCTTTGCAGTATACTGAGTACTAGGGCATTACCAAAAATCAATAAAAACCTTGAAGGTAAGGTTTTTGCATTAAATGTATCATTCAACTTCCTGAGTCAAACAGTTACGGAACTGATCCCCTATTTCTGAGGTCACCTATGCTGTTTTCTACTTTCAGTGGACTGGACTACTCAACATTTTTCTCTAATTCCCTATGTATTTGGTACCTTATATACCATTAGGGGTTTGAACTTAACATCATCATTGGTGTTGACACAATAACCAGTTTGCATTATCTTTGAATGATTTAGACTTTGGAAGCCATTTGTATTGTATAGGTTCATTGCCAATGGTCCGTAAAATAATCCAGTAATTTATATCTCTTTTTCCACATAACCTTTTTCTTGTTTAGTAGTTATCATTTAGGTATATTTACAGTCTTCTGATCTGCAGAACCTGCCTTGCATGCAAGTTTAACATCTTTTACACTACATTGCCTTTTGAAATGTGTGACACACCAGCACTAGCTGAAGGATTTAACATTTTCCTGACCTGATTCTTATGACGATAAATTTCTTTGGCTTTCAACTTCACAGTAATCAGTAATCCTGTCCTCTTTGCTATTTTATTGGTCATTATTTTATAAGTACACAAACTTAGACCTCTTATGTTTCCCATAGATCCATCATGCACTGCAGATTTTCTTTCTTGGTGCTAAGGATTGAACTCAAGGTCATAAATATGTTAGGCAAGTGTTCTATCGATGAGCTACAATTTTGTCCATATAGATGTTACTTTCAACACTTTCTGAACTCCGTACATTCAAGTGAATTTTTCCTGTTTCTGGTTGTACTATATTGTTAATTTATAAACAGCAACTGACAGCAAACAACAATATAACACCTGAACCTAGCTCATTTAACAGTATAAGTAAGTCAACAGAATGAAGCTTATGAAGAAGGCAGAAGTGACTTTGGGAATGTGAGAGGAACAAATGGCAGAAGTAACTTTGTCTTAGATTGGAGGGACAGGAAGTCATCCTTAAAAGTGAACATCTAAGGAGATAAAGGAGCAGGCCTCTCACCACAATAAAATGAAGTGATCTTTCTCCTAGATAAGGAAGATAGGGAAGCATCTTTGAAAACAAAAATCCAAAGAGATGAGAAACGGGCTCCTCAAGGAAAACAACACAATCAGCAGAAAAAGAATTCAAGTCATTCAAAGTATGTCCTCAGGCCACATTAAAATTCTATACATCAAGGAAGAAATCTGCCAGACATAGTAGCGCTCACTTGTAATCCCAGCACCCAGGAGAATGAAGATGTTTACTTTTAAGGATGCCTTCCTGTCTCTCTCATCTAAGATAAAGTTACTTCTGCATTTGTTCCTCTCACACTGCCTTTTTCTTCCCTCACTGTGTTACATAAACTTCATTCTATCAAATTACCTAAGTAGCCACACAAATTCATAAACCAGAGTGTGGTTAGTTTCAAATAAGACATTTTTATTTTGAAAATAAAATTGAATTTTAAATAATTTCATTTGAATTATAGATAATATTCTCATAATGAAATGTTACTTGTCTTTCAGGTTTTTTTCAGTGATGTAAAATGTAACCGTTTTATATGTCTCATTTGGCATATAAAAGCAGGTGGTTGGCAAAGTTTGGCTCCCAGGTTGCAGTTTTCTAACCCTGATACACCGCTGTAACTTAAAACAGTTCACTGTGTGATACTAAATATAAATACTTCACAATAGTATATTTCTGGGTTTTTACTCCCATTCTTGGTTCCATTAATGTTAGATATTTTACTGTCTCTTTTCAGTACTGGGGTTGAACTTGGTCTTGCACATACTAGGCAGATGCTATACTACTTTAGCCACTCTACCAGCTGAATATTTTACTTCTTTATGTCATAAATCCTGCTGTAAATGGTGTTATTTAAAATAGTGGTCAAGGGGAGGAGTGAGGAGGACCTTTCAGGTGTGGGTTCCAATCCCGATAGCAGGTTTTGCCTGGGAATCTCTCTCTCACCCTTCCCCCTTCCCTTAATGAAATAAATGCTCCAAGCAAGAGTTTACAGCACAATAAATAAAACAGTGGTCATCTTTCAAAAGATTTGAATACTAGGAAATGAAATCTTTAGATTACCAGTGTAATTGTGTCTTATGCTCTTCATTCTTTAGGTTTTCCCTTGTCATTTCATGTATCATTTTCCTTCTGATTATTTTCTATAATACTGAATTTTTTTCAGACTTGGTATATCTGAAATGGTTTTTATTTCACCTTTGTTTTTAAAATACATTTTTTCAATTGCTTTTTTTCTTTTAACACCTTACAAATGTTGTTCTGCTATGTTCTGGCTTGCATTTTGGCCAACATGGAATCTTCTTTCTTGCCATTTTTCTAACTTTGTATATAAAGTGACATTTTCCCACCTCTGATTGTACTTAAGATTTTATGTTTATCATGGTATTAAAATTCAATTACAATGTGTTTGGTGAGTTTTTCTTCTGCTTGGTAAGACTTCTTGATCTTTGGTTTATATTTTCTAGCATTTGAAATATTCACCCAATATTCCTTTAAATCAAATTTCTGTTCTTCTGCCTCTCTTCCAGTGCCTTCAATTACATGTGTTTGTTCTTTGATGTTGTCTCGCACCTACGTTTTTAGGCTTTTTCTCCACAGTTGCATTTTGAATAGTTTGTACTGCTACATCTTCTAGTTTAATTTTTTCTCTGTAATGTTAATCTGTCTATAATCCATCCCTTATATTTCATTATCATAATGTATAGATTTTAAATCTCTTTTAATTAGATTAGGCCTTCCTTGTGTTTTTCATGTCTTTATTTAACACATTCAGTCTTTCTTCTAGCTTCTTGAATACAGCAATCTTATTTACAGATTTACTTCACGTGGTTTTGTCCAAATGCAGTAAAAAAATTCCTAAGCGTGTGCTCTACAGTTCAGTTGATGCAGAGCAGTTCTCAATCAGTTCCTTGTTATTGTTAGTTTTGGTTAAACTCTTGCATCCTTAGCATTCATAGTTTTTACTCAGTGGTGGTTTCTTTGGAAACGTGTGTGATTACCAAGGGTCTATATTTTTCTATCTTAATATCATCTCCTTTTATTGTCTTTGTCATTCTGAGCTTATTTTGAGTGATTTATTTTTCTTCACATTCTAGTTTATACTTTTCTGCATTTGTATATCTATTTGTTAGTCAGTTTTATTGTCATTGTAACCAAGTATGTAAGAAACTGAACTTCTTTATATGAAATTATATTTTAATGAATATCACCTTGATTGAAATAATGGTAATTATACTTGCCACTTTAAATTTTTGAATTTAATGTGTACTGGTTTACAAAGGGGACTCACTGTGGCATTTGACACATGCATATATTGTACTTTGATTGGATTGACTTCCTGTGTTGCTCTGTCTTTTCCCTGTCTCCCATCCCAACTACTTTTCAACAGCTCTCAGTTGATGGCCTTGTGCCACCTTCATACATAAACACATGCATTTTCATATTGTTCATCGCCACCCCCACCCGTCATTCTGTTTGCCTCTGCCACCTTCTCCTTGCCCCCCAGACAGTCCCTCTATTGCAATTAGGTCTAGATTTCACATATGAAAGAAAATGTGATCTTTTTCCTAAACTTGACTTAACTTTGCCTAATTTCATGATCTTCAGTTCCATCCATATTCCTGCAAATTGTGTACTTTTATTCTACTTTATGGTTGTATAATACGCCATTGTGTATATATACCACATCTTCTTAATCCAATCATGGGTTGAAGGGCATTAGGCTGGCTCCATACCTTATCATGAATAGTGCTATGATAAACA